TAATAATACCTTTCTCAGATGGCGCAGGATTACATGAAGTCAGAGGCTGGCACAGTGAATGACGGCTATTATTTAGTCAAGTCAAGTGGTTTCGACTGCCTCACATTCAAGTCTTCAACCCACTGGGCATCTGGTTCCTGCACCCACCAATCCGAAGAAACCGTTTTCTCCAGGCTCAGCGACTGCCGCGTCCAAACGACAAATTTCAGTCCTTATCTGACGGCCTTTCTGCAAGTGTTGGCCCTTGCTGACCATTCCCTCCTTTAGAATGGCCCTTTGCCTGAACACGGCATAACCCGGCTTCCTCCTATTTCTCTGCCTAGTCCTTTAAAGGTAACTTTTGTGGTTCTTTCATGGCTTACCTTTTCAAATTTCTAAAAACTGTTTGAATTTTATCCAAGTAACACATGTGTATTTCTATGTCAGTGACAGCCACTCAACAAGGTCTTTCTGGAGCATTACATTAGCTTCCTCAACCATCTGTTCTTTCTTCCCAGTTACTTGTCACTCTTATTCACCATCTACCTCCCCCACTAAAATTCTAAGCTCTTTGGGGGGAGGGGTTATGTTTTATTCACTGCTGTATTCAGAGCACCCAGAATAATGCCCGGTACCCACTAGACCAGGGGCGTCAAACTCGTTTTCACCAGGGGCCACATCGGCCTCGCGGTTGCCTTCAAAGGGCTGAATACAATTTAAGGAGTAGTTCCATTTATACAGTCCTAAAATTATTTCAGCCCTTTGAAGGCAACCGCGAGGCCGATGTGGCCCCTGGTGAAAATGAGTTTGACCCCCCTGCACTAGACTCAATCAATATCTATTGACTAATTGACTGAAATATCCCCTACATTTTTTTAAAAGATTTTATTTATTTTTAGAGAGAGGGAAAGGGAGGGGTGGGAGAGAGGGAGAGAGAGAGGGAGAGAGAGAGAGAGAGAGAGAGAGAGAGACATCTATGTGTGGTTGCCCCTCACACACACACACCCACTACTGGGGACCTGGGGCACAACCCAGGCATGTGCCTGGACCAGGAATCGAACTGGCGACCCTTTGCTTCGCAAAATATCCCCCACATTTAACGCATCACTTGGACAGTCTACCTCCTAAATTCTCTCGCATCTCCACCTCCTGTTCTTGCCTTACAACTGACTCACATCTTGCCTAAATGACTGCCACACCATCCCCAGTCCTATTCTCCCACAGTCCATACTCCAAACTGCTGCTCAAGTCACCCAAGTCCCTCAGCAGAGCCCCATCACCTTTAGGATTAAGCCCAAATTTTTTTTACCAAAGGCTGCGAAGGTCTCCATGATCTGGACCCTGGCTAATTCTAATTTCCGTTCTCACCAGCCCCTTCCACGTGTGCCATCCTGAACTATGCAGTCACACAGGCTCTTTTCTCTGCCTGGAATAATGCCCATTCCCGACCCCTAGTGCCTTCCTACCCTGGCTAACTCATCCTAGTCATTTCTGAGAAGGTCTGTCTCCCATAGTTCCAGGCTTGGCGCTACTTGCCCCGCTCTGCACCCTTTATAGGACATTGCATCTACCATTTCACTTATCGCACTCTTGTGGACTTGTCCAGCTCCAACACTGTATTCAAGCCCCCAGCACAGTGCTTGGTACACAGTAGTCAAGAAATGGTTATTGAAAGGAAATTCATTCATCCTTCTGTCTCTCTTATCTAGGTCTTCACCTCAAACTGCTTTCCCTTTTCCTGCTTCTACATCCTGCCAACTGTGTTTATAAGTACCTTTGGAGAAAAATCACAGATTAAAGTAGATTAGTACCATTTGAAATCAATGCTCCCTAACTTCATTGGTGCATTCAATACCCAGCAATCCTTTTCTGGATCCGTAGCTCCAGTTCCCATTTCCCTCAAAGATCATGAAAAAAAAAAAAAAAGAAAAAAAAAAAAGAAATACTTAAACATTAACAGAAGGGTTTACAGTGAAAAGAACAAGAGTTTGAACTGTATCTTGCAAATCTTTTCTGTGAATATGCAAACATGGATTTACATCTTGTTTGTCCCCCAAACAAAATTAAAAGCTTCCTAAAATGCATCACTTATTTTGTCAAGAATATCTTTGAGAGTACCATGCTAAATGAAGTAAGGCAGAAAGAGAACTACCGTATGATTTCGCTTATATGAAGAATCTGAAAGAAAAATGAACAAGCAAAACTCACTCATATATCCAGAGAACAGGTCAGCGGTTGCCAGAGGGACAGGAGGTTAGGGGGCGTAGGTGAAAAGGGTAAAGGGGGTCAACTGCATGAAGACGGATAGAACTGCTTTTGGGGGGGGATCACGTAGCATATATGGATGTTGAATTAGGTTGTACATCTGCAACTAGAATAAAAAGACTATCTTTTCATATGAGCACATACAGATTTTTCCTCATTGTATTTTAACAACTGCATAATTTTTTTTTTAACTGAATGGACTGTAATTCAACACCTTTGCTCTACCGATGGACATTTAGCTGGTTTCCAAGCTCCCATCCCACTTTTACTTTTCTCACACGAACTGAAGCTATAAAGCATGACCTCCTTCCACCTCCTCTCCCTTATCCATACAGTTATCTGTAATTATCTCAGGGGGAAGATCTCCCCTACAGGAAGGAATGCTAACCATGGCAGCCCACACTGCGTCCTGTTCTCACAGAGGTCTTACCCACCAGTTGTCTTCTCTTGCTTTTTTCGAAACTCTCCTCCCTTGCTTTCTACCCTAAGCCTAAGTAAGCAGGTTATCTTCCATCTTAAGATTCTCTCTCTCTCTTTTTTTAATTCCTCTCAGCCTAGCTTCTTGAAAGAATAGTCTATGATCTCTATCATCATTTCCTCATCTTCCACCTGCTCCTCACCCTACCGCTGGCTGATTGCAATCTCACTACTCTTAACACTGCTTTTGCCAGCTACCGCCACTGGGGACCTCCTCCTTGCCCAAATCCAAAGGCTTTCTCTCAGGATTCATTCTACTTCACCTTTCTGTGGTATACATGTTGTCTTTTTTTTTTGCCTTAAAACTCCTCCCTTGGAAGCCCTGGCTAGCGTAGCTCAGTGGATTGAGCGCGGGCTATGAACCAAAGTGTCGCAGGTTCAATTCCCAGTCAGGGCACATGCCTGGGCTGCAGGCCACGGCCCCCAGCAACCGCACAATGATGTTTCTCTCTCTCTCTCTCTCTCTCTCTCTCTCTCTCTCTCTCTGTCCCTCTTTTCCCTCTCTAAAAATAAATAAATAAAATAAAATAAAAAAACCCTTCTTCCTTGGTTTGAAAAAAATGGCGCTCTTCAGGCTTTCCTTCCATTTCTCACCCCTCTCTCCCAAAATATTGGTCTTCACTGCAATTCTGTCCTCCATACTCTTCTGAGCCTGCACATGCATTCTGGGTGATCTCATCTACTCCCAAGGTTGCACGGATCCTAAGCTGTACACCTATCAGACTTGAAACTTGCATGCTTTCAATCAAGCTTAGCTATTTCTTCTCCTTCCACCCTTGACCTGTCTATTCAGAGAATGCCACCACCATTTACCCTGTCACCGAAGTCAGAACTGTCGGTTCCACTTACTTTCCATTATCTAATCAGTCACCAAGACGCACTTCTCTTTCCCTCTACTGCCAACGCCTCAGCCAGTTTTAAGTATCCCTTACCTGTCCTCTGGCCTCACTCCTCCCCAGGCCATCCATTGCCACACTGCGGCCAGAGTGATCTCTCTAAAATGAACATTTGCCCTGGCTGGTGTAGCTCTGGCTGGTGTAGCTCAGTGGATTGAGCACGGGCTGCGAACCAAAGCATCGCGGGTTCGATTCCCAGTCAGGGCACATGTCTGGGTTGCAGGCCATGGACCCCAGCAACCGCACATTGATGTGTCTCTCTTTCTCCCTCCCTTCCCTCTCTAAAAATAAATAAATAAAATCTTTAAAAAAAAATGAACATTTAATCCTGAACCTTGTAATCCCTCTATACTGCATGATCTCTCTACTCCACCCATCCAAAACTACTCGGTCCATGAACAACAGACCATGTAGTTCCATGCCCCTCAGCATTATTCCCTCTGCCCAGAATGCCCCCCTCCCCTGTCCTCCCCTAAGACTGTCTGGCAAACTCCTTCCTACTCTTCGTGATCTATCTCAAGGGTCTCCTCTGGAAGCCTCTGCATTCTTACTCCAGAAAGCAGAGTTGGTAACTCCTTCCTGTCACCACAGAACCTTATAAATATATATTGCAATGATCACTTTTTGTTAAACTTAAGTTAGTCAAGTCCTGGCTGGCGTGGCTCAAGTGGTTGAGTGTCAGCCTGTGAATCAAAGTGTCAGCAGTTCAAATCCCTGATCTAGGGCACATGCCTGGGTTGCGGCTCAGGTCCCCAGTGGGGGGTCCATAAAAGGCAAACACACATTGATGTTTCTCTCCCTTTCTCTCTCCCCCTCTCTAAAAAACAAATAAAAGATTTAAAAATCAATAGATAAACTTAAAGTATTCACATATCTACTTCTCATTCTCGATCTAAGTTCTCTGCAATCGGAAACTGTATCTTCCTTCTGTGTCAGCATCTAGCGGGCTGCTTGCTAAAAACAGGGGGCTTGATAAATGTTGAACGAATGTGTGAGTAGCCCGTACCCACTCACTCGCCCAAACCGAAACCCTGAAAGCCATCTTCCATTCCTCATCCTCTTCCACCCCCAAATACCAATCAGTTATCAAGTCACGTTGATCAACCTCCTCAAGATCTCTCAGATTCATCCCACTCCTCCCGTCTTAATGCCACAGCCCTACTTCGGGCTCCATTACCCCTTAGAGTGGAACCTCAGTTCTCGAATTTAATTGGTTTCAGAAGGCTGTTCAAGAACCGGAGTGTTCGAGATGGGAGACGTTCAAGAACTGAGGTTTGAGTGTACTTGAACTAGATGTGTTCCCCTCCAAACCAGTCTCCACAGTACTCCTTGTTTTTTTTTTTTTAGAAAAAAAAAAGTTTTATTACAAAAATAATACATACTTGTAAAAAATTCAAACAATACAGAAATAAAAGCACAATATCACACCCAGTAAACACACAACCATATAGCCCCCCACCTCCAATCCCATTCCTCAGACATTATCACCAAATGGCTCAGCATGTGCCCTTTTAGACGTTTTCCTTTGGACACACAAGTACATACAGTATAAATACGTACACATACACGATTGTGTCTTTTATAAAAAATGGCATCATTACTTGTCACGATTCTTCGATTTCCATCTTGACTCAATGTACAGAAAATGTCTAAAACACAAACCTGATATATCACTCCCCCAGAGTTCCTCATTTCCTAAAATATAGAATTCACACTCATGAGCATCAAAGTCAAAGATCCTGATATGCTTCCTGCCCATCTTTCAGTCTCATCTCTAGCCATTCCAGCATGAAAGGACTGGAACTAAACCACCTTCAATCCTTTTGGGAACAAGGCAGGTACAAACAAACAAACAAACAAACATAGCAACACACTCGGCCATTTCTACACTTCCGCTTTTTCCCCTTCATGTTACGCCCTGCCTGGACTTTCCCATCTGGCAAGCTCCTACTAATTCTCCAACAATCAGCTTCAGAATTACGTCCAGGAAGATTCCCTGACTTCTTCAGACATGATCACTCCTCTGTTTCCCCTATAACTTTATAGCTACTAGCTCTTTCATTGCACTCATCTCACAGAACTGTAATGCTTTCTTAGTATGTTTTGAAGTTTACTCCCCCTCCCCTAGCTTGATGGTGAGCTCTCTGGCTGAAAGGAGCGTGTCTTCTTTAGCTTTGCAGCCCAAGGATCTGATCGAGTGCTTCTGACGAAGCAGCTGTTCAACAACAAATCTGTTGAGAATTTGGTAATACTCGGGACATTCATTGAGTAACTGGTATGCACAGAACCATATCCTAAGCATGAAAAGAAACAGAAGACACAGCCTTTGCCCTAAGGAACTTACCGTTTTCCTATCATTTCCCCTGGGGGTGGGGGACAGAACACATTTACGTGGCAACATTATCAGTTCTGACACACAGGCTGTTTCAAAGATTTATAATCATTTTGCCTCAAACCCATTTAGGAACGAGGCACAGCAAAATCAAATAAGTAATAAAATAATGGGCAACGTGTCCAATAGGTTTACGTGTTCAGTGCGGCACAGAGCCCACCGGAATGAACCCAAGTCCCTGTCGCGGCAGGGGGGGGGCTGTCACCTGTTCCGGCCTGCTAGCAAACTGAGATGATACCATGCTTGGAAAACTCCTGATACAACAAGAGGACATAAAGTTATTAGTCTGTTCATGATTTCTCCACCTTCCCCAGGGGAAAAATGATACCAAGAGCAGGCAGTGAAGTTAAAGGCGGGCACTGGAGAAGGAGATTGCACTATTTTTATCAGCGGTGGGAGGAAAGGGATTGCTTGATTTTAACGTAAAGGGTGACACTGACTCAGGGAGGTCGGGCTAGGCGATTCATTCGTCATCATTTACTCACTATTTTTTAAAGGCTAAGGTGTTAGTTAATCTGGTGATTTCAGGATCAGACACTGCACAGATATTAATATAAAAAAATCGAATCACCCAGGCTGGAGAACAAGGAAGGCTGACCAAGGAGGCCCAAAGGAAGCCTCATTCATCAGAGTCCGAGTCACTGTCCCCAGCAATGGAGTGGAAATCCTCACTGTCCTCCTCGGCCTCTGACAGGTGGGCCTGGCTTAGTACACTCGGCCCAGAGCGCTGCTCTTCCTCCTCTTCTTCCTCCTCTGACACCTCATACCCACCGATGCTGCTGAAGCTCGTGTCTTGGGTGTTCGACTTGGGATCAGGCTCCTCATAGCTCCCACAACTAAGAAGAGAAACATGTCATCTCTCGTGCTCGGGCACCGTCCTCTAGCTGACCAGTCCCATGCTTGGTGCCACCAAGGGATCAGCCCATCTCACCTCCCCTGCACACTAAAATGACTGGTTCTGAACTGTTCTACGGGTCCCTGAGAGAGAAACGATCCTGGTTCCAAAACGTCAACTTGCCAACTGGGTATGCACAGGAATCTGAAAGAAACTCCCCTGTATCTGAACAACACACTGCCAGCTTATGCGACCACCAGCACTCTGATAGCCACCGAGTTTCCCCTGCCACTTCCAGCTTCAGTCAGCTACATGCCCGATCAGTCAACAGTCCTAGAGAGTCTACCTCTTCCACACATCCTGTCTCTGTCCCCTCCTCTCCAGCCCTGCTCTGCACGCCTTGAGTTAGTCCTCTGCTGCGTCTGGCCTGCACCCCTGAACTCAGTCTTCATGCCTCCAGTCCTGCCTGCTCTCCTCCAAGGAATTCTTCACACTTCTGCCAGAGTGTGCTTTATCTTTTGTTTGTTTGTTTATTCTGGATTTTACTTAAAAACATCACACCAAGCAATGCACGTTCACTGGTTTAAAAAAGTAGAATATACAATCAGAAAAACAGAAAAATCACCAATAACTCCACTACCCAGAGATAATCGTTTGGTATATGACCTTCCAATTTTTTCCTATGCACTTCACTTAGACGCTTAAACATTTTTTATTTACAAAATTAGAATACTCTACATAACTCTTTAGGAATCTGCTTTTTTCATGAATGATTTATAATGAACATCTTTATGAACATACACCAATAGCATCATTTTCATAGCTGCACGGTATTCCATTGAATGGCTGCGACATGATTTATTTAACAGTCTCACTAAGACATTTAAGCTGCCTCCAATTTTCCCACTATCGGAAACAGCGTTGTGACAAACATCCTTGTACAAACATTCTAATACAAGTATTATTATTCCCATAGAATTCCCTACACATGACATTTGGGAGCCAGAGGAGATGCACATTTTCAAAATTTCTGATTTCTCATTTAGCTCGGTTTCCTTCTGTAACCAGGTCCCCTACCCCACTCCCACCCAAGTCCCAGAAAAATCCCGTGGTCGCCTATTACAGCACTTTTCAGGCTACACAGTGACCAGTCGTCTGTTGACCTGTTTTAGGTTTCCTATCAGATTGAACTTCTTGGAGGAAGGGACTACATTGTAGTATCTTTTGTACCCGTGATAAATTATCTGCTGAATGAATAACAGACTATACCTGCTTCCTGGTTACCTCTGGCTGGATGTGTATGCACCTTAAATCCAACATGTCCAAACACAGATTTATTTTTTTCCTCCTTTCCTCCTATTCCATGATCCCTGTTCTTCATCTTTCCCATCTCAGTGGCATTCCTTTTCATTATATACTTGATCTCCTTACCCCCTAAATCCTATCGATCTACCTGCTAACTAGGTCTTGAACACGTCCCTCCACCCCCCCCCACCCCGCTCTAGCAGATACTAGTTGAGATCCTTATTGTTGCCCTAGAGTTATTTAACACACAAATTTGAGGTTAACTTCCTTTCCCTTAGATACTGATTCCTATTACCCCAAAGTTAAATGTCTTAGCACGTCATTTAAGGTCTTCTGCAACATAAAACGTTGCTATTTTTGGAGCCACAACTCCCAATACTCTCCCTTCCCTCTGAAACATACATGTAACATTTCTGTGCGTCTGAACATATTGTTTCATCCCTAAGAACCTCCTCACCTGTTGCCACTTATTTATTTAGTAGACTCCTATTCATCTTGAAAAACCCAGTTCCAATGTTCCCTCATCTGGGAAACTCCTCAATGACTGCCAAGCACGGCGAGACACTCTCTCCTCAGTGATGACTTGGCACTTTGTACTTAACTTAGGCTACACCACTTATCACACTGTATTTGTAATCATTTTGTTTGTATCAGTCTCTTCCACTAGACTGTGAACTCCTCAAGGGCAGATGTCTTGCTCCTCTGTGTATCCCCAAGGGCCTAGCACAGTGCCCGGCCCTTGTAGGCACTCAGGAAATGTTTGATGGATGAACGTAATCTGACGCTGGGCCCTCTGACATCATAGCTGGGCACCGATGCCACAGCCCTGCAGCGTGTTGCTGTCCATTACCTGATGTTGCTATCCTCCAAACCATGAGAAGCCTCCCCACCGTCTCCCTCATAGGACATCATGCTTTCTTCATTTTCTATGCCCATCCTCGTGTTTTCCTGAAGCATGCGGGGCTGTTTGGGCCTTATCCCACCAGGTTCCACATCAGAGTCACTTCCACTTTCACTCAGCTGGATAGCTGTGAAGAGAGACAGATTCTGAGATAAGCCTGACAGAATTAGCATATGTGGCTTGCTCTACAAAACTAGTTACGCTACGCACCGACACAAGCTCTTGCCTGGACTCCTCACCTCAGAGGAGTGCCTAGGGTAAACACTGGCAGGATCTATAGCTTAGAAACTGAATCCAAATAACCACTCCCCTTTCCACCTCAGTCCAACCCATCTGTTTTTCTCCTATCATCTCCTCCTATACTTTTCTCCTGTCATTGTCATTGACCCACAAAACATCACAAAGCGGGATCTTTTGCCTTCGTTTTCCTTCCCTATTGCCACATACAACACTTCTGTTTTTATGAAGTATTCACACCAAAGGTGCTACTTAGGCACTGCCTTTTCCCACTGTCATCTTTTATATCTCCTGTATTGTTATTTCTTCACTTCCTCTAACGCTAATGAATGCGATCAGTCTATGAGTAAGTCCTCAGCACTCTGAGGTCTATTAGTAGGACTTCATTAAAAGAGCATGTGTGACCCTGGCTGGTGTGGCTCAGCTGATCGGAGCACCGCCCTGTAAACTGAAAGATAGATTCTCAGTCAGGGCGCATGCCTGGGTTGCGGGTTTGGTCCCCCGTCGGGGCGTATGTACAACGCAACTGGTCAATGTCTCTCTCTCACATCAATGTCTGTCTGTCTGTCTGTCTCTCTCTCCTTACTTTCCTTTCTTTCTAAGGTCAACGAGCATGTCTTCAGATGAGGGTGAAAAAGGAAAGAATATGTGGCCAAGAGCTTCCTACCCAATCCTGAGGGTGCTATGGTGAGCTACACAGGAACAGAAGCAAAAGAGCATGACTTGCCAGAGAAAGGATTATCTCCTTCTTCATCACTCCCAGCATCTTCCTCATCATCTTCTCCTTCAGACATAAGCAAATCTTCATACAGGACACTGGCTTGAGGCTGCTGTACAGTTCCTTCCTCTTCATCTGCAAGATCGCCATCTGCATCTTCACCTTCCTGGACAAGACCAGTTGGGGGTCAAGGTCCCATCAATCACCCAAGTAAGAGACCAGAAGCCACCACCAGCCCCCCTTGCTGCCTCACAAGAAGTCAAGTAATTTTGGCGGACAGACTTGTTTGGCTGGTTCCAAGGGTTAAAGTCAGACTGGGACTCACTATAGAGGCCCTCTGATATCACCTTGGGGTTTGGCCTTCCCTGTACTGGTTAGGCTCCTAGCATATACAGGTATAACGTAACCACAGGCTTTCTGTAATCATACTCACTGGGGCTGGAGTCTTAGGTTTCCCATCTTTCTCCTCATCATTCTCATACCCTTCAATATCTACATCAGAGTCTTCCTCGCCCAGCCTACCTCGGCCCTGGCGCATCTGAGTAAGGAACACAAATAGCACATCATTGAGAGACGTGCCTGTAGGAGGAGTTAACAAGGGCTCTCGCCCAGGACGGATACTCCTCGCTGATATCCCAGTCAACCCCACAGCTAGTGGGGGCTGTTTCCGCAGCTCAAACCATGTGCGTTTCCCCCCATTTATTCTTTGGAAATCACCGACGGGGTAAAAATTCCAAAGAACAGGAAGGTCCTTGGTCTACTCCTACTGTATCATCACAAGGAGACTCTTCCTTTCTAACCCAAGCTTTTCTTAGCTTGGATTAAGACCCTTTGGGATAGAAAAACCCTTTTGGGTTTTGTACTTTCCAGTGGAATCCTGATTGAGAAACTGACAGGATTTCTGACTTCAGACCAGAAGTATCTTCTGAGTCCCGGCTGGTATAGCTCTGGGGATTGAGCACCAGCCTGCAAATCAAAGGGTCACCAGTACCATTCCCAGTCAGGGCCCATGCCTGGGTTGCAGGCCAGGTCCCCAGTAGGGGACGTGCGAGAGGCAACCACACATTGATGTTTCTCTCCCTCTCTTTCTCTCTCCCTTCCCCCCTCTCTAAAAATCAATAAATATTTTTTTAAAAAGAAGTATCTTCTGATACTGCTAGAAAAGTCCAATGAAAGATTTTTAGTCTACTTTTATAAAGAACTTGAATTTAGATTATAGCATACATACAGTAGAGTAGCAGGGCAATTATTCTGAACTCTGTCTCTGAATACAGTTGGTCTTTTTAGTCACCTGTCAGGCTGCTCTGACGCCTCAGATACTTTCACAGCTGTGCCTTCCCCAAACTTCTGCTGCACCTGACTGTGCCCGTGGGGCCAGACAGTAAACAGCAACTTTGGTGGACAGACTTATTTAACTGGTTCCAAGTCAGACTGGGACTCGCTATAGAGACCCTCGGATATTGGGTCTTGGCCTGGGATTTGGCTTGCCCTCTACTGGTAGGGCTCCTATATCATAAAGGTGTCATGTAACCATAAGCTTCCTGTAAGCATACACACTGGGGCTGGAGTCTTAGGTTTCCCATCTTCCTCCTCCTCCTCCCCCTCATCATACCCTTCAATATCTACATCAGTCCTCCTTGCCCAGCCTACCGTGGCACTGGTGCATCGTGCAACGTGCCACCATCCCGCTTTGAAATTACATTCTGAACCTGCATTCCCAGGGCCCAGGAGTTCAGTTATCCTTGACAGATGTCAGGTATCACCCCACTCCCCGCTCCAAAGCACACTACCAATCTCACAAAGAGAAAAAGCATATCCTACCTGTGTCTCCTGCTTTTCTGGAGTGGTGGTGGGAATATCCAGGACAGACATATTGCTCTCATCTTGAAACACAGAGGCATCTCGCGACATACTGAGGGATGTGGTGGTGTCATACAAATCAGGAGGCTGTGACACAAATCGTACAACTTAGCTTCTACTTAGGAAAAGGAGTAAGGGCTACAGAGAATTCCCCTTTAGCGTACTCACTGCACAGAAACATCATGCAGACCAATCCACTTAAAGAGAAAACATAGCTTGAAATAACTTTATGGAGAGGTTTTGGGAAATCTTACAGATGTTGTTCACTCTAGCAGAGAGGCATCTAACGTATATGATCATTAGATACCTGAAGCAGAAAAGCAGCAAAGTTATAGGACAATTCTATGTACTAACAGCTTTTCTGGTCAATACCCTAGTTTCTTCTAAGCCTCGCCTTATTGTTTTCAGGCCCAGGGCTTCGTACCAGCGCTCTTTTGATTAGCTTAGACTTGCCTTCTAATAGGAAATGGGATCAAGCAATTTGAATCCCCATGACAGCGCATCGGAGGATGCTATGAGGCAAAATGGTGCGGTGAAAAAACACGGGCTTTAGAGTCAACTGTCCTGGGTTTGAGTCCTGGCTCCACCATTTGCTGACGGAGTAACTTTAAGAAATTACTTAATCTCCCCAAGTCTGGCTTTCCTCAACTGTAAAACATGGTTGATAATGTCTATCTCACAAGGTTGTTGGGACATTTAAGAGATATGTGTAAGTTCATAAGTAATACCCAATGCCTGGTATTCAAAAAATTGTAGATACATTCTTCCCTCTTCTTTCTGCTGAAGAGAATAAGAATTTAGTGAATGGACTTATTCAGTGACCGTAAGGAAGGAGGGACCAATAAAGAACAAGCTGGAGAAATAGGAAAGAGTTCTCTGAGGGCAGAAATATTATGCATCTGTTTATAAAAAATCACGTTTTCAAAGACTAGTTAGTGAAATAACGTGCCCCTAATATCATGTGAAGTGAAAACAAGATCCAAAAGCATCCTGACCAATTTCACTTCAAGTTTGTCTAGAAACACACACGCGAGTGCATGCGTGTGCAAACATACACATCGCAGATTTGAAAGAAACACTCCAAAATGTTCACAGTGGCTGATCCTGAGTCACAAAACTTCATTTTAGGTAATTTATTTCTTCTTTATGAAACTGCAAAGTAAGCAGTTTTAAATAAGGTGTTACACTGAATGTATGGTGCAATACAAGCTAGGTGAAAAATGGTTTCATGAAAATTACTGACTGCCACCAATTAGAGCTGGAAGTAAAATGTGATTAGTGTTATGCTTCTATACAACTGGAATTGTATTAGGTGAAACTTATGTAACCCTCTTTAGTAACGTTTGGGTTTGAAACTAGTAATGAGTAAGAACAATCATTCATGCTCATCTTCCTCAGGTTAAGACGTAATGAACTGGGCTTACTATTTTAAAATATGTATATAAGGCCCTGGCTGGCGTAGCTCAGTGGATTGAGCGAGGGCTGCGAACCAAAGTGTCGCAGGTTCGATTCCCAGTCAGGGCACATGCCTGGGTTGCAGGCCATGGCCCCCAGCAACCGCACATTGATGTTTCTCTCTCTCTCTCTCTTTCTCTCTACTTTCCCTCTCTAAAAATAAATAAATAAAATCTTTTAAAAAAATCTGTATATAGGAGAGAAGGCAATGAGAGAGTGAACTGGAATAATGAAGAGGTACCATCTACATCCTGTTCTTCATAGGAGACCCTCTAACTGCACCAAACTACAGCTACTGCTCAGAAGGAAGAACAGTTGTCAGATTGTCTTCAGCCATTTGAGATAGCGTGGAAGAGACAGAGAAGAATGGAAGAAGACTTTCAGGTCCAAGGCTCTGACTCACCAAAGAACAAGGCCTACGCTGTCACAGACTAGCGTAAGCCACTGCGTGGCTAGAATCTCCTGGGGAATGATGGCTGAAACCCAGGCTTTAACTTACCAGAAGGCGCCTGGTGGAAGCTGCAGACCTATTAGCAAATAAAACCTTCCTGAGCAACATCACTCCCCTAAGCCCCCTTGTCCCAATCTACCCACACACTCCAAAAACCTTTCCTTGTTCTGGGCCTGGAAGAAGTATCTTAGGGTTCTTGATACACAACCTCTCAATAACCTATGTTGTGGGATGAAAGAGAGAGTAAAAGATAGACAGGGCAAGTGCATGGATGAGAAACAACAATAATCCAACAGAAATCATATAGGCTGCATTATCAGTTCAGAGCGAAACCTGAGTAAAATGAAGAAAAGTTCTCTAGTGGCAATTGGGAGAATTTTGCATTAAAATATTTTGTTCAATTTGAAAGGGCCTTTGAAAACTCTGTAGACAACTTTTGTACAGATAAGAAAACATTTACTGAATGTCTGCAGTGTGCCAGGCAAATTAATTCATTTCGTGTTTCTAACCATTGTGAAAAGTACATTTTAGAGAAGAGGAAAACTGAGTTAGAGAGGTGAACTTCCCAAGTTCACAAAGCTAGATAGGAGTAGAGCTAAGATTCAAACCCAGGCCTATTTTATGCCAAATTTCATGTACTTTCCACTTTACCATAATGCCTCTAATATGGAACAAGCACCAGCTATATTCTGCTAAGTCCTATTCTTCGACTATGCCACCCCTCCAAAAGTATAATATAGATGAAATACACTCATCATATTCAAGGCTCAGAACGGAAGCACTAAAAATGTCTTCTTACCACTCCTGCTCTCTAGTCTTGGGGCACGTCAATTTAAAATTACATATATTACCTGTCATCCTTTACGAAGAGAGGGAGTCAGTCCAGGAAAATGGGCACCATCTGAGCTACACTAGGTACCTCTGAGGGAATGAGGAATCGGGGATTCATAAGGCACAGGAACAGTGTGGCCCGTGTCTATCGCTGAGAAGTCTATACTCTAAGAACGTGCCAGAGCCCTAATTCATAGGCAAGGGAGCTCCAGAGACTCAAGAGGAAGGCCTGTGGCCATAGTAGCCAGGAATCTGGTTTGCCTAAACACTGCTTAAACAACTAAGACCCCATCCCCACTCACTCATCCCACACCTGCCTCTTCTAATTCAACAAGGCCACCGAGACCCATGGCCCTCACTCACCTTAGCCTTTGAGAAGACAAGAAAGCACACGAAAGGCATATGAAGAGGAAGGACAGAGAAGAAGGGTATCTCAGTAAATACATCTGTTAATATGCTCCAAATTTCCCAAACCAATTAAGAAAACTGTAAGAGGAGGTTTCTAGCCCTCAGACTCACCTGAGGTGTGTAAGGCCCTGGGGTCATCGGGTCCAAGCTTTCTAATTCTGCTTCCTCCAAAGCTGCTTCCTTCGCTGTACAAATATCCTTCTCAAGCTGAGTCAAATGCTCATCATACTGAGAAAGAAAATTAGTGAATTCATTCAACATGCGTTTCAGGCACTGGGAATACAAACGTCAACGAAGCAGACAAAAATTCCTGTCCCTCACGGAGCCTCTAGCAAATAATTATACAGTTTGTTAAAAACATTCAGTTCTATGTAGGAAAATAAAGCAGGGAAGGAAATAAGGGGGAGTGGGGGTGCAGGTGGTGGGGTAGGATGTTACATTTTTAAAATAGGATAGGCGAGGAAGGCCTCCTCACCCAAGGGAACAAAGGGATTCCATAAAGCTAGGTCCCAAAGGGACCTCCTCTTTACCACCTACCTCAGTCAGTGTCTGGTAACAGACATTCACGATCTCCTGCGCAGTCTTAGTATATTGACTTTCGGGCCCTATTAAAGAAAAACAGAAAATGCTATGACCCTTGCAGACTTCAGTTTCACAAATTTATAATGTCACGGCATTGGCATTCCATTATCCTAGACCCCAAAAATCATGCTTCAGGTTTAACTGGGATTCTTGCTTTACTTTGGAAGCAGAAAATTTCAAATGTATTATAAAACAGAGGTACTAATATAATGAACGCCCATGTACCCACTACTCAGCTTCAATGACTATCAACACTTAAACCTGAACTTTCGCACGCTTCCCAAATTATTCCGAAGCCAACTCCAGTATCATTTCATTTCACCCACAAATTATTCAGTATGAATCTTTAAGGACTCTTTTAAACAATAACTATGAGTAATACTATAACATTGTCAAACCCCACAGAATGCACAACAGCAAGAGCAAACCCTGATGTAAACATGGGCTTTGTGTGGTGGTGACGTGTCAATGGAGGTTCATTGAGGGGAGCCCATGTGCCACTCCAGTGCAGGACACTGATGATGGGGAACGCTGTGCATATGTACAGGGCACACATACACTGGAAATCTCTATACCTTTAGCTCGATTTTACTGTAAACTCAAAAAAATAGAGTCTATTAAAAAAACCAACTCTATTAGATCTAAAATAACAACAATAACATTATTAGACAGCCAGTCAATACTCATATTTCCAATCATTTCATAAATGTTCTTTTCCATTTGGTTTCTTTGAATCAGAATCCAAGTGAGTCCCACACATTGCGTTTGGTTTATGTGTCTCTTTAAGACACTCTTACCTATTAGGTGATTCTTAATGATACATAGTTCCCCATATGGCACAGGTGGCAAACACAAGGTCCGCAGGCTGAATCCAGCCCTCCACCTTGCTCCTACCCGGTAGCACCACCAAGCTCTCACTTAACTGTTAAGGAGTAGTTACATGTATACAGTCCTAAAAGGACACTCAGCCCTTTGAAGGCAACTGTGAGGCTGTTGTGGCCCCTGCCATATGGCCTTTGTCACAAGTTGCAAACTGGTGGCTTGCAGGTCAATTCCGTTTTGTTTGGCCCACAAAAATAATATCAGCCCTGGCCAGTGTGGCTCAGCTGGTGGGAGCACCATTCCAAACACCGGAAGGTCACGGGTTTGATGCCCAGTCAGGGCATATGCCTAGGCTGCAGGTTTGGTCCCCAGTCAGGACGTGTGTAAGAGGCAACTGACTGATGTTTCTCTCTCACATCAATGTTTCTCTCCCTTTCTTTCTTCCTCCCTTCCCCTCTCTCTAAAATCAATAAGCATGCCCTTGGATGAAAATTTTAAAAAAAAATCAGTCCAGTTTGTGAAAATGGATTGAGCTATATACATCCATAATATATATACCTTTTGTATGCAAATTATGCCTCAATTAAGTTTTCTAAAATCTTAGTTGACAACATTTTAACAATAAAGAGATTTTATATAAAAATCCAAATGTCTAACTTCTCTTAAAAGATTAAAAGATCTGGGCACTGGCCAGACAGCTCACTTAGTTAGAGCGTTGTCACGATGCACCAAGGTAGTGGATTCAATCCTAGGTCAGGGAACATGTAAGAAGCAACCAGGGAATGTACAAATAAGTGGAACGACGAAATGATGTTTCTTTCTCTCAAATCGATTTAAAAAACTAAAAAAAAAAAGAATCAACTAATGAATGCATAAATAAGTGGAACAAATCGATGTTTCTATCTCTCAAACCAATAAAAAAAAAATTAAAAGATCTGGCAACATAGGGCCCGCATGCCCACAAGGCATCAACTGGCTGAAGCTGAGCAACAGCTGCTCCTTTTAGATAAGGCATGTTACCATCATCCCTAACCAGGTCTGCTGAACTTGTTTATGCCTGGACCCTGAAGGCATCTTTATCATACTCTTTATACTGTTTATTCACCCGTTCATTCATAAAACGTATTTTGGTACCTTCTATGTGCCAGGCATTATACACAGAAATGAGTGAGATACAGACCATATCCTCAAGAAGCTTATAGTCTAGCAGTGAGATAGACTGTAAACAAATAGGAAAGACTATTTGTGGAAAAATACATAAAGGGTTCAGTAGAGACACAGGGGAGGAAGTGGCTGATTCTGGGAGGTAAAAGGGAAAGAGGAACCAGAAAAGGCTTCACAGAGGAGGTGATCCCCGAGTTAAACCTGTTTATCAAGATGTAAAGAATAAAAAAATATACCACATGCGCATGTAAAGCCTTCATGCCATACCTACTCTATTACAAGCTATTATATGAACAAATAAGTCTCTTTCAGTTACAACCTCTCACAAGTATACGCCACCTATTCTTTAAAAGATGTAAAATAAAGCTGAGTCCTTACACACATTGACTGGGCCAAATACAAATAAACCAGACAGAAAACGAAGTCTTCTGGATGCTTAGGACACATAAACACAGCCAGAGCTGGCCCACAATCAAGAATAGTTTGAGCGATAAGAAGGCAGCTCAAGTTTCTAGAGCTCTAATCTCCGAGGACCACCAGGAGGTTGGTTCTCAAAATACCAATGGAGAAAAACTGCAAAATTATCAGACAAGCTTTCATGTTGATAGCAATGCATGATGCTACAGAAAAAGGCTGTAAACAGGTCACAGGCCCCCTTCACCAAGCCAATACAACATCAATTTCTTAGAGTATAATGGCTCTCCTATCTACAAGGACCTGCCTCATGGCTAAAAATCCAGACTACAGATAAAGAATTCAGCAGTTATTCTAGTTCGGTTCTTTTTTGGAAGAGTTTATTTATTTTCAGAGATAAGGGAAGGGAGGGAGAAAAAGGGGGAGAGAAACATCCATTGGCTGTCTCTCGCACACCCCCAACCAGGAACCTGGCCCACAACCCAGGCGTGTGCCCTGACTGGGAATCCAAATGGAGACCTTTTGGCTCTCAGGCCAGAGCTCAATGCACTAAGTAATACACTCTAGCCAGGGCTCTACTTTAGTTTTAAAACCTAAACATAAACCAATCCTTCAGCATCTCAATGATCTCATTTACGACACAGGGAAAATTTAGTTTTATACAAGTGCAAAGATTTCTCTCATTTTTTTTTTGAAGGTGGGACCTCTTCCCTCCCCATTTTCTTTTTTTATTTTATTTATTGACTTTTTTGAGAGAGAGAAGGAAATGGGGGAGAGAGAAGAGGGAAAGAGGAGGAAGAGGGGGGAAGAGGGGGAAAGACGGGGGAAGAAAGGGAGAGAGAGGAGGAAGAGGAGGGAGGGAGAAGGGGGAGAGAGAGGTAGACAGACAGGCAGACAAAGGCATCAATTTGTTTTTCTACTTCTTTATGCATTCACTGGTTGCTTCTTGCCTGTGCCCTGACTGGAAATCAAACCCACAACACCTTGGCGTATTGGGACACTGCTCTCACCAAGTGAGCTCCCTGGCCAGGCTTCCCTCCCCATTTTCTTTGCAACATACAACTCTAAAGAAATACTCACTAATACCCCCAGAATATGAAAAAATATACCTACTACATAGCTGTTGCACTTGTCTATGTGTTTTGATTATTAGCTCTGTTTGCTCTCAGTTTCTGACAGTCCATGCTCTCAAGAGTTACAAGGGTTTCAGCTATTTAACTTTATTACTTGAGTATATGCAAAGTAGCATTGAAATACGTTGCATGAAAGATGGTGATGGAGTTGGCAAACCACTAACATCATCAAAAAGGGACAAAAATACCCAGATGTTTTCTTATCTCTACCTACGCCAGGTATATTTGAACAGGATGGTAATGAGAGAGATCCATGAGCTTCCTACAAATGCAAACAAAATTTTGTGCGTAATATAAACTGTTCTGGGTACAAAGTCCGTTTCATCATCAGACTCTCAAAAGGATCCATAACTACCTCCACAAAGCTAAAACCCTTGCTCTGTATTCTGAAGCAACCAGGAGCTTACTAAAAGTAAGATGATCAATTTTAGGTTTCGCAGCTTAGAAATAAAAGAAGAGTCCAGTGTGGAGACATACAAAGATAACAGGGCCACTATGGGGGTAATAAAAGTGCTGAGGCTATTTTGGGTGGGGGCAGGGGATAGAAACTGACTTCCAATTTCCCAGTCCCTAAGTGGTTACTATGCAGAAAATCAGAATTATTTAGTAAAGCATAACTTTCAGAATGACATGAAAATGAGTATGAAATAGGCCATCTATGAATGACCACTGCGCCCCCTACAGGAGAATAAGCTACTCTTTTACAGAAAGAAATGTTTTTCTCAATATTTTGCTGTCTCTTTCCCTCTCTTCATTAAATCATGGCAAAGCTGCCCCAGCTGGATGGCTCAGTTAGTTGGAGTGTTATCTCATGCACCAAAAAGGTTGCAGGTTCAATCCCTGGTCAGGGCATATATGGGAGGCAACTGATCAATGTTTGTTTTTGTTTTTCTCTCTCTCTCTCAAATCAGTAAACATGTCCTCAGGTGAAGATTAAAATAAAATAAAATAAATCCTGGCAAAGCAACCATAAATGTCTTGAAAAATATTTATTTATATTTTGCCTCTTTCCAAATAAGGACTGACAGTAACCTACAGTGTTGTATGTAATTCCTATCCAAATGCCCTTAAATAGTGGTAATTCCAATGACAGCTTCAGGAAGTTGATATTCCACTAAAATCAGGAAGATTCCTTTTTTTGTCATTTCTAAGTTAATTCACCCCTTTAGTGATGCAAGGACAAAGAAAAGTTACAAGCTTTGTGTTCCTAGTTTCTAGTTAGACAGGGAAAGCAAGTATCACTGCTATCTTGAAAGGTTTCAGAGAAAGATGCCAGTCAAGCCGGTGAGCAGTCATGTACAACTAAGGAGAGAAGGAGGTTTGTGATCACTTCTAAGCTCACATGTCCTTTGAGAACCTTTCCACAAATACTAAAAATAACCTTCCTCCTAAGAAAATGAATACTCTGCCAAGACAAGCAGAAGTTATTATCTTGACAGTGAACAGTGTGGGTGACATGCATGTATCCAATGTGAATCATTAAAATTAAA